CTGCACCCTGCCTGCACCACTGCCTGCGCTACTGCCTTGTCCCTCGCTGGGGTGCCCCGAAATACAGCCGTGTGGGTAGCGATGGGGCGGGGGCCAAGCTGCAAGAGCAGCCCTGGAGGAACGGGTTGCCTGGAGCATCCCCAGGGATGAAGGGATGCAGCATCTCCAGGGACGAAGGGACACAGCGTCCCCAGGGATGAAGGGACACGACATCCCCAGAGATGAAGGGACACAGCATCCCCAGGGATAGAGGGACACAGCATCCCCAGGGATGGAGGGACACAGCGTCCCCAGGGATGGAGGGACACATCGGCCCCAGGGATGGAGGGACACAGCATCCCAATGCTGCAGGGCCAATGGTTTTGGCGTCGGCAGCCAGGGCTGTCTGAAGGCAGCAAGCCCCCTGGGCAGGATGTGTCCCCGGGGCTCTCACCCCATCGCTGTCCCTTCCCTGCCCAGGGCCAGGGGAGCCGGAGCCTGCAGCCCCAGGCCAGCCAGGCACTTTCTCACGCTGCTGATCTCTAATTAAGCATTTAAGGAGGTTCTTGCCCATAATGAAAGGGAGACGTGTTCTGCCCGTGCGTCACCAGCGTGGCCGGGTCCCTGCCCCTGCCTGGGGCCCTGGCAGTGTCCCCATGCCAGCCCTGCAGCACAGACACCCCAGCCTGCCCCCCAGAAACACCGAGGGGGTGCCAGCACATAGGGACAGTGAGGGAAATCCCAGCCTGCCCCATCCTCCTGCGGTTTGGGGGTCCCCAGGGGATTGGGGAGCCCCAGCACAGCCTTTGCAGTCTCCTCGGGGTACGTGCTGAGCTGAGACCTGCAGCTCTCATCACACCTTCCTCAGCTGTGGCCCCCTCTTTGCTCCCTGGACAAAGCCACCAGCCCTACACATGGCCGGCACGCTGCCAGCCCTGACCCCATGGGCATCCCGCTGTGCCGGGGCCGGGCACCGAGCTTCAGCCGCGTGTGTGATGAGCTGTGACAGGTCTCAGCTGTGGGTCCCTGTTGCTGGTGTGCTGGGGACCCTCTCCCACTGCCTCGCTAGGAGTGACCCCAGTGCCACTGTCACCCCCGGCAGCGGCAGGATGGGGGCAGCGGGGCTGACCAGCCCTGCCAGCAGCCCCTGGGCTTTGCTGCAGTGCTGGGAGGGGGTCTGGGTGCTGCCAGCACCCCGGGGCCAGGGTAACATCCATCCTTCCGCAGCTACGGGCAGCACGTCCAGCACTTCAAGGTGCTCAGGGAGAGGAACGGCAAATATTTCCTCTGGGAGGAAAAGTTCAACTCCCTCAACGAGCTGGTGGATTTCTACAGGACGACCACCATCGCCAAAAAGCAGCAGATCTTCCTCCGGGATGAGGACCAGAGCCAGGAGGTACAGTCAGGGGATGGGGACATGGGGACACGCAGGGCTGGGATGCGGGGTGATGGCATGGCCGGTGGCGGGGCCGG